AAAGCTGAAATAAAATAGAAATATTAGAAAACTAAAAATGTTGCCTTGTGTTTTATGGAAACTAAAGCTATTCAAATTTGAATAAAGCTAAAAATATTAGACGAAACACTTAAACTTCGAAAATTTGAAAATGTTGCTGTGTGTTGTTATTGTAAAGTATTACAAATTAAAATTAAGCTTAAAATCTGAAAATAAAATAAAAGCTGAAATAAAATAGAAATATTAGATGAAAAACATAAAAAAAGCTTGAAAGAAAATAGAAATGTAGCCATGTGTTGTTATTGTAAATTAAAAGTATTCCAAAGTAAAATAAAGCTGAAATAAAATAGAAATATTAGATGAAAAATTTAAAAAGTAAAACAAAATGATAAATGTTGCCATGTGTTGTTATTGTAAATTAAGAATATAAAAAATTTACATAAAGCTGAAATAAATTTGATAAAAAACCCAAACTTAAAAAACTTTAACGAAACTGTTGCCTTGACAACTAACTGTAATAAAAATAAATAGAAATAGAAAAAAACTAATAAAATTACACAATTGAAGCACATAATAAAATGACTAACACTTCAACTAAAATGAAAACTGAAAATGTAAAAATAAAAGCTAATCCAAAATATTAGTAACTACTGTAATAGTAAATAATACTAAAATATCTGTGTTAATGCATCTGTGTAAACTTTTGCTTCCGTCTCTTCTATCAGACTATGCTGTTCAGATCTTCCACGATGCTGTGGAAGCGGGTAACTTTGTGTGCAATCTGAGGCCTGACACGAGACTCCCCATGATGTTCGTTGATGATTGTCTGAGAGCCACACTGGAGGTTCTGGAAGCTCCTGCTGAGGTGCTGTCCATGCGAACGTACAACATCAGCACCATGAGCTTCACTCCAGAGGATCTGGAACAAGAAATCAGGAGGCACCTGCCAGACCTGCAGGTCACCTATGAAACTGACCCAGTTCGACAAGCCATTGGTGAGAGTCGAACACATCAGTCATCGGCCATTCAAGACGTATGAGTTTGTTTCTTCATCAGATTTGGAGAAATGTAGCATTACAGACACTCTGCAGTGAATGGGTGCCGTCAGAATGAGAGTCCAAACAGCTGATAAAAACATCACAATAATCCACACCTCTCCAGTCCATCACTTAATGCCTTGTGAAGTAAAAAGCTGCATGCTTATAAGAAACAAAGCAATCATTGAGGCATTTTAACTTCAAACTATTGCTTCCAGCTAAAATATATATCCATAATCCACAATATTGCTTTTAGTGAAAAAGTCATCTGGTCTGAATCAGGAGAGAAATCTGCACAGATCAAGCACTTTTTAAAAGATAAAACATTCTAAAACGGCTCTAAACAAATATGTTGGTGGATTTTGATGTGAGAGGACAACAGTGGATGAACTTTCTCACTGGAGGAAGCGTTATTATGGATTATGGAAACAATGGTTTAAATTTTAAAATGTCTTAATGATTTGTTAATTTGTTTTAAATTCAAACATGCAGCTTTTTATTTCACAAGACGTTAACTGATGGACTGGAGTGGTGGACACTCTGCAGTGAATGGGTGCCGTCAGAATGAGAGTCCAAACAGCTGATAAAAACATCACAATAATCCACACCACTCCAGTCCATCACTTAATGCCTTGTGAAGTAAAAAGCTGCATGCTTATAAGAAACAAAGCAATCATTGAGGCATTTTAACTTCAAACTATTGCTTCCAGCTAAAATATATATCCATAATCCACAATGTTGCTTTTAGTGAAAAAGTCATCTGGTCTGAATCAGGAGAGAAATCTGCACAGATCAAGCACTTTTTAAAAGATAAAACATTCTAAAACGGCTCTAAACAAATATGTTGGTGGATTTTGATGTGAGAGGACAACAGTGGATGAACTTTCTCACTGGAGGAAGCGTTATTATGGATTATGGACACAATGGTTTAAATTTTAAAATGTCTTAATGATTTGTTAATTTGTTTTAAATTCAAACATGCAGCTTTTTGATTCACAAGACGTTAACTGATGGACTGGAGTGGTGTAGATTATTGTGATGTTTTTATCAGCTGTTTGGACTCTCATTCTGACGGCACCCATTCACTGCAGAGGATCCATTGGTATACAAAGATGTATTGCACTCCATTGCAATGTATTCTGATCATGCATTGCATAATCTTTGGTGGATATGCCAATGCAAAAAAAAAAACATTTAGCAGAAATAGATTTTCGGTGATAGCTTATAAACCTTTGGAGGCAGGCCTACCACGAGCTCTGAGGCTGTTAAGCGATGATATATGTTTCTGTAGAGGCCACAAGTCTTAGTCCAAGTGTTATTTCAACTAGGACAAATACATCTGGAACCAAAGCTGCATAAAAAGTGGTCGTGGCTGTTGTGCTCAGCAGGGTTAAATAACAGCGCTGTTGTGTGTTCCTTTAATCCATCTTGTTTGGTAACTGCTGACAGCCTTACGATATTAAGTAAGAAGTGGTCGAGCTGTGAATGTCTTCAGTATGAGGGTGATAACCGTGAGATAATACACAACAGAAATAATCCTCTGTTGCTTGTGTCAGTATGAATTATTACAGCCTTCACATTTCACACTGCGCTACAAAAAAAAGTAGCATGTGGGGAAGTCGTGGCCTAATGGTTAGAGAGTCGGACTCGTAACCCAAAGGTTGTGGGTTTGAGTCTCGTACCGGCAGGGATTGTAGGTGGGGGAGTGAATGTACAGTGCTCTCTCACACCTTCAGTACCACGACTGAGGTGCCCTTGAGCAAGTCACCGAACCCCCAACTGCTCCCCGGGCGCCGCAGCATAAATGGCTGCCCACTGCTCTGGGTGTGTGTTCACGGTGTGTGTGTGTGTTCACTGCTGTGTGCACTTTGGATGGGATAAATGCAGAGCACTATGGGATAAATGCACACGTCACTTTAAAATGGCAAAGTCTGCAAAATACAGTTTTTAGGTCAGTGCTAGTAGAGCCGCACGCCAATAGCTTGCAGATGAACTTTGATGGTTTTTGAAAAGGTAACAGTGTGCCACCAGCTACAGGGCAGCTTAGGAGGATCACAATCCTGTTTTATATCAGCGCTGAGCAGGAAGCTACATTTCAGGTTACTGTCCAAACAATCCGCCTACTTACATTTCTTCCTTTTGATAAACACATCAATGAAACGTTGATAAAATTCAATACAAACTTATATTCTTATTATAAATCATCAGTATGCAGTGTGTAATAAGACAAGTATCACTATTACCATTTACTTAACTTTTCAAAGCAATCTTTTTTTTTGAAAAAAATATCCTATAGACAAACATTGAATGAATTTATAGAGCAATTTCTAGATGCAAGAATTAAACAGTAGATCAGTAAGAAACCTATAAATACGGAAGAGGATTAGGGCCAAGCAATAATAAAAAAATTAAACCATCTTGAGATTAAAGTCGTTACATTTCAAGAAAAAAGTTGAGATAAAATGTTGAGATTAAACTCGTTACATTTCGAGAATAAAGTCATGTTACAAGAAAAAACTCGTTAAATTTCGAGAGAAAAAAGTCGAAATAAAATGTTGAGAATAAACTCATTATATTACGAGAAAAAGGTTGTTAAATTTCGAGAAAAAAGTTGAAAATGTTGAGAATAAACTCACTAAATTACGAGAAAAAAAGCCGTTAAATTGCGCGAAAAAGCTCGTTAAATTTCGAGAAAAAACGTTGAGATAAAATGTTGAGAATAGACTCATTAAATTACGAGAAAAAGGTCGTTAAATTTCGAGAAAAAAGTTGCAAATGTTGAGAATAAACTCACTAAATTACGAGAAAAAAAGTCGTTAAATTGCGAGAAAAAGCTCGTTAAATTTCGAGAAAAAAGTCAAGAATAAACACACTCATGTCATGTTCATTTCATCTCGTTGGACAGTGTTATTTAGCGTCAGTGGGGTTGGTTGGAGAGTAATGCATTTCTTCCTTTTCTCATCAAATATCACATTGGAAAAGTGGAAATCAATTGCTTAATGAGTATTTAATAATAATGTATTAATTAGGGGTAGACAGGCTATAGGGAGGGCTCTATCTATCTATCTATCTGTCTGTCTGTCTGTCTATCTATAAAAACAAAATTTATCTATCTGTCTATCTATCTAAGAACTAAATCTATTGATCTATACATCTAGCTGTCTATCTATAAAGAACTAAATCTATCTATCTAAGAACTAAATCTATTGATCTATATATCTAGCTGTCTATCTATACATAACTAAATAAATCTATCTATCTATCTATCTATAAAAAACTATATCTATCTATCTATCTATCTATCTATCTATCTATCTATCTATCTATCTAAGAACTAAATCTATTGATCTATATATCTAGCTATCTAGATATGTATATATCTAAAACTAAATCTATCTATCGATCGGTCGGTCGGTCTAAGAACTAAATCTATTGATCTATATATCTAGCTGTCTATCTATAAAAAACTAAATCTATCTATCTATCTATCTATCTATCTATCTATCTATCTATCTATCTATCTATCTATCTATCTATCTGTCTATCTGTCTGTCTGTCTGTCTGTCTGTCTGTCTGTCTATCAATAAAAAACTAAATTTATCTATCTGTCTATCTATCTAAGAACTAAATCTATTGATCTATATATCTAGCTGTCTATCTATAAAGAACTAAATCTATCTATCTATCTATCTATCTATCTATCTATCTATCTATCTATCTATCTATCTATCTATCTATCTATCTATCTATCTATCTATCTATCTATCTGTCTGTCTGTCTGTCTGTCTATCTATCTATCTATCTGTCTGTCTGCCTATAAAAATGAAATCTATCTATCTATCTGTCTGTCTGTCTGTCTGTCTGTCTATCTATCTATCTGTCTGTCTATCTATCTATCTGTCTGTCTATAAAAAAACTAAATCTATCTATCCATCTATCTATCTATAAAAACTAAATCTATCTATCTATCTATCTATCTATCTATCTTTCTGTCTGTCTGTCTGTCTATCTATCTAAGAACAAAATCTATTGATCTATATATCTAGCTGTCTATCTATAAAGAACTAAATCTATCTATCTATCTATCTATCTATCTATCTATCTATCTATCTATCTATCTATCTATCTATCTATCTGTCTGTCTGTCTGTCTGTCTGTCTGTCTATCTATCTATCTATCTGTCTGCCTATAAAAACGAAATCTATCTATCTATCTGTCTGTCTATAAAAAAATCTATCCATCTATCTGTCTATCTATCTATCTATCTATCTATCTATCTATCTATCTATCTATCTATCTGTCTATCTATAAAGAACTAAATATATCTATCTATCTATAAAAAACGAAATCTATCTATCTATCTGTCTGTCTATAAAAAACTAAGTCTGTCTGTCTGTCTGTCTGTCTAAGAACTAAATCTATTGATCTATATATCTATCTATCTATATATCTATCTATCTATCTATCTGTCGATCTGTCTGTCTAAAAACTAAATCTATGAATTGCAGTCCGATCACCGAATGATGTTTTTGTGTATATAAACTGGCAAACAGAAAAACTGCCAAGAGTGGCATGTTTTTGTGTATAAATACATAAAAATAATTGTAATGATATATTGGTATCGATAACAATACACATTTATTTAAAGGGTCAACGCAAGCTGTGTGACGCCATCAAACTGAGCACGCAGATGTACAGTAACTGCATTCATCCTAATAATAATGACTTCAAAAGTTTAGATATAAATGAAAGTAGTTTGCGTTATATTTCATTTGGTATGAACAACAAAAGATCAAATAACGTGCATGGAATTCTGGGCGTCCCTGTGATCACGTGATAAATAAGCATTAGTAGGTCGTCAGAAAGTAACGCATTATAGCGACAGCAGCAGCAGCAGGGTCGGACCTCGCTGTGGTGACCCACCTTTGAGTTTGGGCAGGAGATGTTTGCTGAGGTTTGCCAGCTGTCCTACTGCTGACCACGACAGCCCTCGCGTAACTGC